GAAAAACAATTGAGTTTTTATGAGTTATGCTCACCCTATTTCGTGTAAGGTAATGAAGAACTGGCAGTTGGATTTCCCCACAATCTTATGAGTGTAGCTGATGTTTTCTGTTGACTTTCACACAGTCTTGCTTTCCCAGAAGGTGTTTCGTCCAGGACGGCCTGCAGTTTCGACCTCGCCTAAGGCCTACCAACACGTTAGATCTATTCATATGATTGTGTGAAAATTCAACTACCAGTCCTTCATCACATTTACGAAATAGGGTGAACATTAGGCATAGATCTGATGTACTGGTAGTCTCGACAACCTACTCAAATTGAGCCTTTAGTCTCTCATCCCAAGTGCCAGTCGCTCTCAGAGCCTACAAAGAGTCAAGATTCACTCACTTTATACCAACTTGATTACACAAGAGTCTTTCAGCCAGACCAGACGGACGCGGATATCTCCAAGCCTAGTGATGCTATTCTCGGGGTTAAAAAAGTCATTAAGTCTACTGACAGACATTACACTATGTTTTTTTAACTTCACCCATGTACTAAAGCAAATGCACATCATTCTATAGGCCTTAAAATTCCTTTTTCGCTACACTACAAATAGTATTTAATAATGGGCCGGTTAGTTTTATTGACTTGCAACCTTGGCGCCATAATGACGATGAAGTCAAGCTCTGTAGATGCCTCTAAAGTGGCATGACGGACAAAGGCTCAGAGCGTCTTCAGCGTAGTCGAAGGAGGCTGTCGGGAGGACTGGGGCAACCAAAATGGGCTCGTAGTTCGAACCATGTGAGTGTATTCATTTCACACTTTCACACGAAAGAAAGGTCAGCTCAAAAACGGCATATCAACACATTCACCGAAAACACCATTCAGTCTTTGCAATGGCTCTATTTTCTGTACTTTAGGATCGTTCTGAAGCCAGGCGGCTGCACGAATCGTCCGGACTGGTCTTTTTTGAAGTGTATCTGGACACACCATTGGAGGTGTGCGAGGGACGAGACACCAAAGGGCTGTACAAAAAGGCGAGGATCGGCGAATTAATGGGCTTCACTGGAGTGGACTCACCCTACGAAGTGCCGGAGAAGCCAGATCTAGTGCTGAGCACTCATTTGCTGGAAGTAGAAGAGTGCGTAGAAAGACTGATTGACATGCTGGCTAAGGTAAGGGACTACGAGCATCTGCTATTTCTGCT